TAATTACCCTGCATTAAAATGAGGACCTAAGTAGGTCTGCAGGAAATTCATCACTCCCCACTGCCTGCTATTTTTTTTTTCCCCCAATCTGAAACAATCCTAATGATAAAATAATTCAAACTCCCTTAACTGTCCACGTAGTTAAACCTGGGAAGCCTCCCACTGGTCCTTAACCCTGGTGGTGCTTCTGCAGTAATGTGCTTATTTTGTTTGGGAGTGATAATAGGCTCTTTTAGCAGTAACAATTATTCAGAAAGGTTGTATCTATAGCAAATGATTGCACACTAATTGTGGTAATTAGGCTGTGAGGAGTTCCAGCCCTGGTCCCCTCCTTTTGCTGGCTCTTGGCAACGTGGGGTTGGTGTCACTGTGTGTGCTGGTCCCCCCTCAGCTGCTCCCAGGGGGGGGATCTGGGTACATTTAGAATCATGGAATGGTTTGGGTTGGTAGGAACTTGAAGTCCATGTAGTTTCAACCCCCCTTCGTGGGCAGGGACACCTCCCACCAGCCCAGGCTGCTCCAAGCCCCATCCAACCTGCCCTTCAACACTGCCAGGGATGGGGCAGCCACAGCTTCCCTGGGCAACCTGGGCCAGGCTCTCACCACCCTCACAGCAAAGAATTTCCTCCTCATGTCTAATCCAAATCTCTCTTCCAGTTTCAATCCATTCCCCCTCGTCCTCCTCTTTTAGGGTGCTCTTGGTGTCCTTTTTGGGGTGAGTGTGGTGTATCCAGGCTATGCCCATGGCAGAGGGGACAAGCAGCCCTTGGCCAGATCATCACCAGAGCTGGAGATACCAACTGTCCTGGGGCTGCTCGGGTGATTCCAGGCTCAGAGGAGCCTCTCTGGGCTGGGGCAAGGCCCATCAGAGAGCTAAAACTGGTGGTTTTTTGCTCAGTCATATCTTCTGCAACCCTTGGATATGGTGTGGGGTCCCCATGGGGGCTGCAGAGCCTGGGTTGAACCCCCTGCCCCAGCGGGTGTGAATGTGCCAGGGTGGGAGCTGCTCCCAGGGCACCTGCTGCTTCCCCCTCCTGGGTGCTGCCTGTCCCTCTGCTGCCAGGGCTGGGTGTCCATGGCAAGCCCTGGGTGCTTCTCCCAGAGGATTAGCCAAGGGAAGCCACTTCTGCTACCCCATTGTTCCCCTGCCTCGCACCAACACCTTCCCTGCAACCAGCAGAAAAACCCTCTGACTGTGTCCAAGGGCTCAGAGGAGTCACGACCACAGATCAGCCCCAAGGTGACTCCCAGGAGCTGGATGCCATCATGGAAGGGGACAGCAGGAAACTGATGCCTGTGGAGGAGAGTTTGGATGCTGGCTGGAGATGTGCTTGTGATTTGAGGAGCATGAGCTTCTCCTTAGTATTATGGCATGTCTGGACTTTACCCCAGGTCACACCAGGCCCAGTGTTCAGCACCACCCCCTTCCAGCCTCCACCACCACTTTCCAGCCTCCACCAGTACCTTCCTCTGAAGGAAATAAAACAGGAGGAGAGCTGAGGAGACAAGGTGCAGCTTCCCTTTCTCCAGAGCCCAGCTCTGTGGGACTGAGCCACACTGCCTCCTGTTTTCCCTAAATATATGCACTGGAGAGGGAGAGCAACCGCGTGGCAGGGATTGAGATTTCAGACTTAGCCATTCATGAATAATAATCAGGCTCAGTAATTCGCAGTAAATGGGTATCCAAATTGGCTAATAAGGAAGGCTTTCACCCCAAACTGGAGCTGGGAAGAGAGGCAGAGAATATCAACCAGCTTTGGCTGATGTGAGGTGTGCACAGAGGGACCTGAGTCGGTGAAATCTGGAAAGCAAAACCAGTGCTAGAGCAGGGAGACCAGGGAGCAGGAACAGGGAGGGCCCTGGAGAAGGGACAGCATCTGACCTCCCCTGGCTCAGACCTGCAGGAGGATGGGATCCCTGCAGTCTGTAATTAGTGCCATGTAATTAGGCTCAGCTCTTCCCTCCAGCCCCGGGACAGGGCTGGGCTGGTGGGTGTTCACATGTGTCTTGCTGGTGCTCCTGGAGCTGGTGTCATCCTGTCCCCAGGTGTGACATCCCCAGCCCAGGGCTGTGCAGAGCTGCTGGGACAGTGCTTGCTGCCAGAGTAGGAAAGCAAGAGGGATGGCTATCAGGAGAGCTGAGGTGGGGAGGGGGATGAAAAGGTTTGATTCATGTGCACTCAACTAAGATTCAGGTTTTGCTTTGTCTGCTGGTTTAATTTTCTCGAGCAAGGCAGCGGTGGGAGCTGTGTCCAGGTGTGGGGAGGTGGGTTGTCCATCTGCATCTGCTGGCAGCAGGCTCCAACAGGGAGGAGGTGCTACCCACCAGCACCCCCAGCTGCTGGGAAAGGCTCCCCAGTACTGGACACCAGTGGGAGCAGCAGCAACGTGAGCTCAGGAGGTCACCGAGTCCTTCCTTCCCAACGCACGTTCCTCTAGCAGCACCTTAAGGTGACGTTAGATAAAAAGTTAAGGTAGAGAGATAAAGCTGGCAAAGCAGCTCTCGACCTGTGATTTGAGCTATTTAAATATGCAGAATAGAAGCTGGAAGTGCAGCTGAGGAGGAGCTGAAGGAAGGCTGAACCCCTCTGAGGGCTGGCTGTTGCCAGGCGGTGCTTTGCAGCTGCTAAATGACTTTTGAAATTGAGGAGAAACCTGCAGCCACTTTTACAGTCCCCTCAGCTCCCTTATATAGGGCAGCACAAGGGCTGGAGAGCAGCACGTGGCTGCTTGACTGACTTGCCAGATATTACAGCCCTGCTGTCCTGCAGCAAGGAATTGCAATGGATTTGAAATCAGCTTGGGCCAAAGGCGATTTTCTTCCTGCCCTTCCACCTCCCCCCATCACCCCCTCTCCCCTACCCGTGCTGCTGGATTGAGGACACTTCCAAAATTTAGCAGGTTGGGTGGCATGGAGCAAGCAAACCTTCTGTGTTATTATTTTCTTCCCCCTGTGACTTGGCTTATTGAATCGTGTTGGAAAGTGGGGTTGGAGTGTGCAGGGTCTTTTCCCTGAGGTCTGATGGAAGCTCTGGGTGTTCCAGAAG